TGACCCTAATCTTGCATCAATCTGAACATCCTTATTTGCATTGGTTCCCTTATTTTGTGTTTCCTTCCAGTCTATTAATTCCATCTTCTCTTCAAGCTTCTTCTGACCCTCTTCCTTTCTGATTGGAGAACTTCGTCTTTCATATACTAACACCAGAAAATCCTGCATTGCTTGTATTAATTTATCCCAACCCGATGCTCCTCTCCCTTCAGAGAAGCAAGTGAACTGTTTCATACCATATCCATAATATTCGTAAATACCCACAAATCTTCCCTTGGTTGTTTTCTCTTCTTCCAGCAGCATACCTTCTTCCCTCTTCCACAAGACTACACTTCCATTCTATTGTTCTTAACGTCCTCTTCGCTCCCTCCAGGAATCCCTAAAGACAGGATATGGCTTTCTCTTCAAGAATCAACGAAGCTTTTCTCAGTTCCACTATCTTCAGGGCAATCCTCTTCTTGTCCAAACTTCTTCCAAGGCAAACTTTTTTGCCTCAATCTTCAGAACTCTTCTCCATCTCCTTGCTGGTGCAAACTCCATCCTCTTGAGGAGGTAGAGACAACTCAAAACCCTAGGATCCAATTGAATTCCTGCGGATGGATCTCCGTTAGTGTGCGAGATTTCAGCATGTTGATCGAACTTTCATCCACCGCTCGAATTTACTGAGAAAACCTCTACAAGCAGATGCCTAGACACCTATAGATTCTCCAAACTTTGTTTCTTGAGATCTCGCCACTGCTCAGTTTATGTCTTTCTTATCCTCCCTCCTAGTTTCACTACTCCCCCTGTCTCCATTTGGCTTAGGTTTGGTTGTACTAACCATAGCAAACTGGTCAATCCTAGGCTGTCTCAACATGACATTCCTCCTGCTCTCCTCTCCAGAAACAAAGGCATAGGCTTGACACTCTCTCTAGAAAGGATATGCTGCCTAGCAATGTCGAATTCAGGGTTTAGCCCTACCAAGAAGAACTCAAAAACCCTATTTTTCTCTACCAGTTTCTGATAGGTTGCTGCATCATTTACACTTTCCCACACCACAGTTTCTAAGTGATCTATCTCCTACCAAAGGGTTTTCAGCATGGAGAAATACATGACAAGGGGTTTATCTCCCTGTTTTATACTAATCACCCGATTCCTTAACCGATAGGCTCTGGCTACATTCTGCTTCTGAGAATAGGTTTCAATCACTCCATCCTAAATCTCCTTTGCAATATTAGCCCATAGAAAATTTTTGCCAATGTGAGGTAACATAGAATTACACAGCCTCATCACCATGTAATTCTCCTTTACCCATCGAGAAGAATCTATATCAGATTTCTTCTCCTCCCCAGTGATGTACCCTAGTTTTCCATGGGCACCAATACCCATCTTGGCTGATTGTGCCCATTCTAAATAATTTGTACCATCGAGCTTCATTGTAGTAATGATTCCATACCCAAAAATATCACTACTACCTCCAACGCCCAGTCCCATGGCAGTGTTTTAAAAGCGCAAGGCGCAAAAAAGGTGCAAGGGCCATTTTGCGCCTGAGGCACAAGGCGAGGCGTGCACCTTTTTGAGGCAAGGCACACAATTTAAAAAACAAAAAACAAAACAATTCAAAAAAAAATGCAAACAATTCAAAAAAAATCAAAAAAATATAAAACATAATATTAATAAAAATATAAACTTAAGTTTTAAAATAAATGTTTTAAAAAACCTATTATCTAAAATTAAAATACATAAATATAATATGTAAAGCATATTCAAATGAGAATTTGAAAATGAAATCAAACATATAAAACATTTTCAAGCATATAAAACCCATAACCTCTTTTTTTTCTCAATTGCATCAAGTAGCTAATGTGGACATATTACATTCCTAATTCTATGAGCCGCCTTTGTGCCACGCCCCTCGAGGCAAGCCCAAACAAGTCCATGTTATGATCTTAAATTCTTAATTTTCACACAAAAAATAATAATTTTATAGTTTTAATTGCTTTTAAGAAGATATTTCATTAGGATGAATGAATGGACAACATTACTAAAAGATGTGAGAAGCTCAATTCAAGCTTATTTCAGGAAGCTAGAAATGGAGCTTCTAACCTTTTTTTCGTCTCGTCTTTGCGCGAAAAGATGCGCCTCCAACCAAACGGTCAATGGGCTACCAAGATCTTTATGTAAAATCCCACTAGATGTTTTGGCTATCAGATCTTCCAGAAGATCTTTCAAAAAAGACTTGCCAAATGGCACCATGGTTGTCAAGGCAAGGCCTACGCGACAAGGTGCCCTTGGAGGGTCGCCTCACCTAATCGCCAAGCAGTTTTGTACACTATGTTATATACTTTAATATTTTGAATTTTTTGAGATTATGATTATAATTATAAAATAGACACTATTAAACCACAATTTAAGTGTCAACGGTATTCGAAAATCCAATTTCGAATTCGAGATTCGACATAATCAAATTGAATTCAAATAATTCGAATATCTAATAGGTCGAATTTGGATATCCTATTCATACCGAATAGTTAATCGGATTCGAATTCGGATATGACCTGATTCAATTTGATAAATATTCGAATTCAACAGATTATTTAGGGCTCATTTGGCGCGTCTTTCCGTGCGATCTTTCAACTGTTTACAAGCCGGGAAGACCGATTTTCGGTCTATTTCCGTTTAGCACGCGAAAGATCTAGCCGCGCAAGAAGCCCATTTTGGGCTGATTTCGGGAAGCTCCAAATGAAGCTTCTCGTGTCTTCCACGTTTTAATCTCGCGCAGAAAGACGCAGAAAGATGCACGTCTGCCAAACGTGCTTTGGGCTACTCAGATCTTCATGCAAAAGCTCAATGCGTCTTTTGCACGTCAGAGCTACCAAAATATCTTCCCAAAAAAATGCGTCAAACGAGCCCTTAATTCTTATGTATAATATATAAAATATTTAAATGTTTCATATAATTTATATATATATAATAAATAAATTATACAAATAATTTATATATTTATATACTTTATATAAATAAAATATTTATTTTATATATTTACTAATTACCTAAAATAATTAATTGGTCAAATTCGAATCGAACCGAATATTCGAATATTTAATCGAATTCAAATTCGAATATTAATTTTTAATATCTGTTAGATATTGAATCGAATTCAGATATGGAATTTTCTAATCGGATTCGAATTCGAATTTTGCCTGATTCTATTCGAATTGAATCCATTTACACCCCTAACTACAATTCATTTTGTATGTTTATATACTATTTTCTTTTTTTATTTTATTATTTATTATTTGTTAGGGTTTAATCAACATAGACATTGCTAAATGTTTTAGTGAACCCTCAAAGACTTCAAAACCTAAACCAATAAGGAAGAACTTAAAATTTTGTCTAATCAACACATTTTCTTACACATTCTTCTTTTCTTATAACAAAAATAGGGGTTCAGCCCCTATATTTTTTGAATTTTCCTTTCTTTCTTCCTTTTCTTTTCATGAATATGTTGATTTTCTATACTTTAACATGAAGTTTATACTTTTCTTATGAAAATTATTGATAATTATTAAGGAAATATGGTTATGGAACCTAAGGAACTACCCTAGGATATATGTTTTTTACTTAAAAAAAAAATACATCGCCTAGGCGGCGGCAGCGCCTAGGCAACTAGGCGACAAGGCACCCACCTATCACCTAGCCTCACCTTGGCGCCTAAAACTATGAAGCTAGGAAGAACTTCTTCCACCTTTTTTTCATCTTTTCCCAGGACAAAAATAGGGTTTAGCCCCTATATTTTCTGAATTTTATTCTCTTTCTTCTTTTTTTTCCCATGAATATGTTGAATTTATATATTAAAATATGAAATGAATGATGGTTGCTAGTTGCTATGGAACCTAGGGAGCTACCATAGGATTCATACCTTTTATTTTAAAAAGAAGAAAAAAAACTCCATTGCCTAGGCAAGCGCGAGTAGCTGACAAGGTGCTGCCCTTGTAAACTATATCATATGGGAAGGACCAAAAGTCAATGGGTGTGGCACTTTCATTAAGTTATATACTAATACAAGAAAGTTACAATTTAATCTCTGATTAGTGTTAAAGAATGACAAGTTTGCCCTTTAAGTGGTATGATAAAGAAAAAAAGGACTAAAAAACCCATTCCTAAGACCATAGGTGCACAGCTTAGGAATATAATTATATTGTAAATCTACAAGAAGTATTCTCATCAGTGTCATTGTAAAGACTGTTTTGAGATAACAAAGAATAAATTCTGAATTGCTCCTGCATGTTCTATGGCTTGGTGCTGATTCCACCGCTGGGTGCAACTAGATAAGTTCTTGTGAGAATGTTGATCTATAAAATCTCTGCCTTAATATTACAGGTTTGTTTTCATTTCTACGTTCCAGTCGAACTTAACATTATCTCCTTAACTCCCACATTCCTCTGATTTTCCCATTAATATTTCCTCTCTTTCCTTTGCATTTTCTTTGCTATTGGATCTCTGCAATTCCCTCTTAAAGCAGGCATTCTCATCAGTTCTGTTCTTTTCCCAAACTTTAAGCACCATTTGAGCTCAATTCAGCCCAATTACATTTATGATTCACTTGTTTGTTGCTTATTTTTCAATATCTTTATGTTCTGTCCAGACTAACTTATGGGCAAGCAAAGGCTAGTTATGATTACTGACTAGCAAGCTGAGGGCTTTGTGGGTCTGTTTCCAGCTTGTTTAGGATAGATTTTAGCCACCTAATTAGCTGCTTTTTGAGTGAACTATACAAAAATAAAAAATAAAAAAACAAATATTGGGCAAAAACAATTAGCTTCTGTTTGGGTGGTTTCCTGCATCATGATATCTCTCTACTTCTCAAAACTATTCATCCTCAAGTATATATTATATTATATTATATTAATCAATTTTACATTTAGCAATCAGAAACTCATTATCAATTTCTACTATAAAAGGTTACAATCATAAGTTGCATAGAAACAATTATTCGAAAAGAAAATAAAACTACTTACATTTCAGCAGTCCCAAAGAATTGCACAAAGTATTTCTTAGGATCAGGAGTTCGTTCCCAATCTTCAGGCCGACTAATCTGCAAAATCAGAACCAATAATATATATTTGAAACAAAATAAAATAAAATAAACAGTATGTGTAACCCATGTTGTTATAAAGAATGAGAAGGGCAAATAAGAACACAATAAATATGAAAATGCAACAACAAAACCTTAAATCCCATGGAAATGATTTTCCAATCTTCTCATACTTGTAACCCACAAACTAAACCCATACCCAATTAACTTTCCAGAGAACAAAAAAACGGCCACTTTGACTTTGTTGAACAATCTAGGTTTGAATTAAAAGTGGAAACCGAACAGTGTGAACGTAGAGCTTTCCCCACATTCAACTAGTAATCAAAACCATATTTTACGCATCAAAGATCAAGCTGTGACATAAACAGACAAGAAAAATGATGAAACGGCAAAAAACAAAAACATCAACATAGCATTTTGTGAAAATGAAACAAAAAGGAATAAAAATGAAAACTAAAATTTGCAAAAAGAAGCTCCGTACTTGGAACAAGTAATCAACAGCCTGATTTTAACATTCAATTCAACAAATGCAACATGCAATTTTGACAAGAAAGCAAAATTCCATAGCAAAAGAGTATTATGAACCAAAGGGAAAACACCATACCCGCGAAAAGATAAATAGAGCGTAAACCCCATTGCGGCAACATAAAGTTAAAAAAAAATTATAAAAAAAAAAAACAGAGAATAAAATCAATACTAAGTCCGTGATAGAAACCGCAAGTTTCATACTTGCGTTCAACGGTTCAAGAAGTACAACAAATAAAGCATGGATAAATATAAACGGAAACAAAATCGAAAATAAAAAACCGAAGAAATAGAAACAAACAGACCTTAGCAGGCCAGGCAGGAAAACCTTTAACCTTGGCGAGGACCAGATCTCCCAAACTCAACTGATTCGCCTTCGCGCGGTTTGCTCCCCTTTTACGCGCCGGAGCCATGGCGACAAAAACCCTAAATACGACCTCGTCGTCAAATATTATCTATTCAACCAAAAAAACCCTAAAAACCTCGAAATCAAAACCCAAACCGACTTTTAAGGCCGTAACGGCTACTACCGTGGGGAAGGCCGGAGAAGAGAAATCCCGGCGGCAGGAGAAACTACAACTGCGACGGCCAAATCTGGTTGGCGCTAAACGCCGACGAAGAGCAACGGTTCTGCATTTCAATGGTGAAGATTGGGAAGGGATGGCAGACGGTGAGCCAGAAGCAAAAGAACTCTATCACAGAGAGGGGGGAGTATCGACTTCAATGTTCTGAATTCGCATCGGCACCCCACAGAGCGCGCCCTACACGCGCCCCATGTTACATCTCAGCCGTTTATATTAGGAGCATCTCCCCATAACAACAACGGGAGATGTTCTCTATGCACGCTGTATGTGTATTTGGGGCACTGAGGCGCCATTTCATGACGTCGGCTTCTTTAACCGTTGGTTGAATTGAATCTGCCACTCACAAGCGCACGTGTTTGGTTCCTTTTGGCTCCGTTTGGTTTGTGGGATGGGAAAAGATGGGATGGGAAAGTGTAAAAATCTACTCTTCCATTGTTTGGTTTTATATATGAGAAAATAATAAAAAAACACTGTTTCAAGGAGAATAGAAGAGAAGGTGAGGGAGAAGAAAACATTGTGTTTACAACTGTATCTACGAACCCAGGAGAAGAAAGAGAAGAAGAGAGGAGAGAGGGAGGAAGGGAGTGTCTTTGATCTGTGTCTGCGAACCCAGATCTAAGTTCTACCATGGCAGAACTTAGATCTGTGTCTACGAACCCAGATTTGTGTCTGCGAACCCAGAAGAAGAAAGAGAAGAAGAGAGGAGAGAGGGAGGAAGGGAGTGTCTCTGATCTGTGTCTGTGAACCCAGATATGAGTTCTACCATGGCAGAACTTAGATCTGTCTGTGAACCTAGAAGAAGAAAAAAAAAAGAGAGGAGAGAGGGAGGAAGGGAGTGGCTGAGAGGGGGTGCCGCCGCCGTTGTTCTATTTCTAGGTTCGAACGGGGAAGGGTGTCGTCGTCACTGGTTTCGCCGAAAGAGATAATGAACAATGGTTTCTTACATTTTTCTACTAGGGTCGCACGGCTTTGGTGCGACCCCAAATCCATGATTTTGGGATCTAATATCCCACACTTTTCTCACCCCATGCCCCCCTCTTTCCCTCAAACCAAATATGAGAAAAAGGGAATATCCCCATCCCACAAACCAAACAGAGCCTTTATGTTTATTAAATAAACGTTTGTACTTTATTTGCAGGTAAAACCGAGAAATACAATAATTGCAACTGTTTATGACAATTAGGCGCCACTAAGCGCCACATCAGCATAACAATGAATAAATGCTTGACCGTTTATGGAAGCTTCAAAAAATAACTTCCACGAATGGCTGGTATGCACATAAAACAAAGTTTACTTTTTACATTTTTGATGCATGCAGAAGAGCAAGAGAGAGAAAATGTTGAGATGGCCTATGTGGCACCATCAATAAATGTCTACTTGAATAAACGTAAACGGAACCAAACACCCTCCTGCCGAGGCTACTGTGCTCATGGTCTGTGAGATTGAGAGCCAAGGGGCTGAGGTCAATGGACTCGAGGGTGAGGTTGAGACGGTGGAGGAGGCTACGGTTTGGGGGACCGAGGTCGACGAAAGATGAGGTAGAAATTGTGTTGGGGGAGGGGCCCAACGCCCCTACGCGGCTCAACAGCCGCTTTGCATCTATTCCTTGTTGTTTAACTCTAGTGGATTTGGCTCGAATTAGGGCCTTGTATTGCATCCTCGAGGAGTATGAACTAAGGTGTTCGAGTATTGGTGAGCAGGCGACCTTGGCTTGGCTTAGTGAACTCTGCGTCTACGAGCACAACCTGATGGTTGAGCTGAGGTTTCCGTTTAGTGAGGGTATAGCCACGGCATTGAGGTGGTACCGTGTCCAACCGGTCCAATTAATGTCAAACTCTTTTACATACATGGTCAGCCTTCTTTGCTACTGTTTGGTCCATGACATCGACATCACCCTACCGATGTTTGCTTACTTCCTACACTTGAAGAAGCACTAGTAGGGCTACTATTATTTCTCGACTCGACAGCATAACAAAGTGCTTGTTAGGGCTCATTCTTCGGTGAAGCACAGGAAGGAGAGATTCTTCACTGTGCGTTGCCTAGGAGGCTGGTCGTTCCCCCCCGAGCTTCTTGTTCTGAGGACCAAAGTGAAGGCACCAATTGAGGTCGAGCTTTTTGGGGAGGAGTTGGCATCTATAAGGCGGATAGAGAGGATAGACGTGCAAGAGTACATATCGTTTTCGATGTTGATCCGTGCTGGGCTGATGAACGACATGATTGAGCACTACCAGTCCGGTCCATGGGTTATACTAGGTCTTCCTCTTCTTTACTTTCCGAGTTCTTTACTTTGTATTGATTTCATGATGACTTGTGCAAGAATGAACATGGCTGGATGATGAGTATCTGCTACACTAGCAAGTGCACTAGCCGCACAAGTAATAGATTGATGAATAGAGTATTGTTTCCCACGAGGACTTATGTAGCAACTACTAGTAGTATATCAGCTTACTTTTATCTGATTAGTCGAATTGTAAATTTAATGCAAATCTGAAATCCTAACTACAAAACTATCTCTAAGGAATTTGATCAAACACCTTGCATGCAAGTTGAGAAAACAAGCTAAATATGCACAAAAATTGATTCAGCAATTAGTTCTTTAGGACATTCGATTAGATTAGGATTCAGCCTTGGTTTGGTGAAAYCCCAAAGTAATGAACAGCCTCTCTCAAGCGCATGTTCATTCTATGCGTGAGTGATGATTCTTCTATCTCTAGGAAGAATCTAATCCCCATGTATGCATTAAGATATAGAAATTCTAGGGCATCATTTCAGATTGAATGATCACCAACCAAATTGTGCAAATTATCTCTAACCTTGCATTAAATTCGGTTCTTGATTAGCAGATCTGAAATCCTAGAGTCTTTCTCAAGCACTCTAGAACTTCCAAGAATCAAGAACAGTTCAGCCAAACAGAATTAAGAGTGCTTGAATTCTTTCTCAAGCAATTCAGACATTACAAAGACCAAGATCAATTCAGCTAGCAGATCTACAATTAAATTTCTAATCAAGAAACATCAAGATTGCATCTAATCTATTCAAATGAACCTCAAAAACTAATTACAGATCTGAAATTACAGAGATCATGCTTCAATTACAGCAAGAAAAAAAAAATTAATGGAGAAAAATACATATCATCCCTAGCTGAATTCGATTACCAAATATGCAGAAATCAAGGAAGAACAACCTAGATCTCCAATGGTTTCTTCTCCTTTCGAATTCAGCTTCTTCTTCCCTTGAAATTGCTTGAATCTCCTTTCTTCTCCTCTCTTGCGCCTATTTCTCTCTTCTCCCTCCAAGAATTTGACTCAAGGAGTTTTCTCCCCAAAGGGGCTTGAACCATAAGGTGCTAAACATCTTTTTCCTCCAAGAGGCCTCCTTAAATAGTATTTCCTTCAGCTCTCCAATAATTCTAGAAACTACCGCCCTTAGCCTCTCTTGAACCTTCTAGAATTTTGCTGCCCCTAGTTTCTCTTAAACTTTCTACAGGTTGCCGCCCCTAGCTTCTCTTGAACTTTCAAGAGGTTGCCGCCCCTAGCTTCTCTTGGGCTGCAATTTGGGCTGTTCTTGAGTTGCTCTTTAGCTGCAAATGGGCCTCCTCCTTGCTGTGCCGAATAGGCTCCCTTGGAAGGCTGCGGCTAGGCTCTCTCTTTGGGCATCTCCCAAAGAGTGTTGCATGGGTTTTAAGGGCCAAATAGCCCTCCTTTGACCTTTCAGCTGGGCCTTGCTCCCAACTGGGCTGTATCACCTTCAATTTGGCCTCATTTAGCATGGTTTTATGCTCTTTTTCCCTAGACTTGTCCCCTTTTGACAATTTCCTAAAATCAAGCTCAATTGGGGTAAGAATTCACACAATTAGGCATCAAAACCATGCATAAACCTCATAAAACATGTGTAATTTGTGCACTCATCACTGGATTTGGGGAAATGACCCAGCATACGAGGGCCATGGCAGAGAGGAAGATGCAAGCGGCTAAGGCTCTGAGCGCGCAGCCCAGGGTCACCGAGCAGTAGGGGCGATCGGCAGAGCGTACGCCTCAGCAAGGGAAGAGGCTGAGGCTTCCAAAGGAGGTAGTGTCATCAACCTATAAGAGGCTGCAACTCAGTTCGTTCATCTATCATCGTTTGGGGGGCATGCCAAAGCATGTTGCTATAGAGAGCTCGGTCGAGCTATACATGCCGTAGTGGACTACCCGGCTAGACACCCTTGAGATGGAGGGGGTGCATGAGCAGCTTATCCAGGGTCTGATGCTCCCTGGCATTAGGTAGGAGGCCACCACTCTTCTCTTTTTTTTTGTTGTTGTTGCTCATTACTCTTTTTTCCTCGTATTGATAGTTGATTATTTTGCAGTCTGTTTGCTCGACTGTCGGCCTCATCGATCGCCTTCACGCACTACGATGCCTTTGTGAAGCGCGGGAGGTGGAGAACGAGTAGTTGAAAGCGGAGTATATTGAGCTAAAGGCGGAGCTGTCCGAGTTGAAGCGCGGTGTCGAACAAAAAGACAACACTATTCGTAAGCTGAAGAGTCGCGTCCACAACTTGAGGAGACACGGGATGCACTGAGGAAGGAGCTTGGGGACATTGAAGCGAAGGTTGCTCGGGTGGAGGAAGGGGGGTCTCCATGTATAAGGCTTTAGAGGCTTATCGGAATGACCTGGATGACTTCGCCACCGAATCGTGACATTAGGGGTTCGCTCTCTACCAGGAAAGGATCGTGTGCCATTTCTCGGAGGTGGCCGAGGCTGTTCGGGGGTTCGGCCCATTTTACCTCCCTATGCCTAACGGGGAAGATGCCATTGCCAAGGTCTAAGAGTGAGTCGAGGAGCCCCTTGCCGACAACTGAAGTGCCTTGCCTTTTCTCCTTTTTTTTGTTATGACGTACACAACTCGGTATGCCAAGCTTTGAACTTATGTAATTACTTTTTTTAATTAATGAAAATTCAATCTTTTTGCACGAGTAACCTTTTTTGTGTCCTTCCTTTCTTCTATTATTGTGCCTTTGGTTGATTGCGGGTGTCAGTCTATAGTGGACTGAGGTGTTCGGTAGCCGAGGTCGTGGGCTCCATGTCTTCGGCTTTGCGTTGGTAGAGGTGCTTTCGAGCTTTCGGTGTCTTGGGGAGGCTC